AACGAAGATATTGAGCCCATGAACATGTTTTAACGCACGCAGTTTATATACGTATTAGCCAATTGAATGCGTTTTAACATGAATAATCGTCCGTTTTAGGATGTTAACAAGAAAAGAATAAATTTGAAAATAGTCACTTGTTATAAATCTTTTCTATAGCATTATGCTATAGAAATGAAGATTTGTAGTAAAGCAAAGAAATATCAATGTATTAATGGTAAGTACTTCCACTTCGATTGGGTACTGAATGAAAACATAAATTTACGAACAAGAGGAAATTGAATATCAGTTCCAGGTTAAAAAGCGAGCTTTCGAATAATAGATTGTAAATTAGTAACTTCTTATGCTGTTTCATGATAAATTCCATACAATAAGTTTGTACAAAAAAGATGTACGTACGCATGTTGTAGTCGATGAAGTTTACGATATTAAATGCTAATATTGTCCTCGCTAGTATATTTATATCGGCTTTTCTATGGAAAAAAGTACAAAGATGTGTTAAATCATCCATGGCAACAAAATAAAAAGAAATAAATAATTCGATTAGATCCTTGAAAAAAAACGGCCGAGAAAAGTTTGGTTACTTATATAACAAAAAAGATGATATTCGATGTACAATAAAGGCACTTAAACAGTCAAGTGTGTTTATAATTCTATCAATGTAAGGATATTTTTTAGTCGATAGCAGGTAATATTTTGTGCTTATTTAATAATCGATTTCCATTGGATTAAATATATAAGAAAAGCAACAGAAAACATGAAGAATAGTTGACTCGTAAAGAAAAGATTCTAAACATAATAAATATTTCAATTGTTTTTCTCTTTTGACAATTTACTTTTTCCCTAGTTGATATTTAAGTAGATTCCACCAGCCAATAGTCATCTAATGCTGTGTGTTTCTGTGCGTTAATTTCATTCCTCGTAACATCATTCTTTGTTTCTTTCTTTTTGTCTCTCCCTCTCGTAACACACTAACGTAAGTTGGAAACACTTGTGTTATATCTATTTGTATATTAATCATAATCAGCAGCTGATTAGAACATTTTTGACAAGGTTAGTATACATTAGAATATTTGTAAAAAAGTTACAAATAAGATTTTTTTGCATGAATTCAATATATAATTTTTTTTAAAACTAATGAACAGAACTCAAAATATATTTTATTGTATATTAATAGAGTGATCTTCATAACAAATAGGGAGGAAGTCTTTGCATAAACGAAAGAACTGAATCTTTTACTGCATGTTAATAGAATTTTTATGTTTTGACTAGGAAGCAAGTTTAAAGTATTGAACACAATAAACATGTTTTTCCACTGCAACTCAGTAGAGTTTTCGCCACACGTACTTAAGTCACAAGCTTTTGTATAGACTAATAGAGTACAAAACTTCTTTTGCTGCATTTGTGCAGAATATATTTGTTGAATTAAATATGGAATTTTTTTACAGCAATGAATAGGTTTTAAAAAATTATTGAATAATTATAGAATAGTCTTCACAAGACATAGGCGGGAAGCCTACATGAATGAATGAACGCGATCTTTTAATGCATGCTTACAGAATTTTTGATAAGTGATTTAGGAATAATGTTTTTAAAAAGTGAACAGAATATCAACTTTCTAACAATATGACTAAATGAAGTAATGTTAAGTAATTAAAGTTTAACGTTCGTTACCCCCAGTTACGCAATTACAACTATTTGTATTTTAGACCTTCTTGCCGTTTGCTATTATACGGCGACAAATTAGTAGCACATGAAATCTATTCAAAAATAAATCCAATAGAAAGAGCAGTAGAAGTTAATCAGTGAATCATTGAGTATTTGAGTCCTATAAATAAAATACATTGAAAATTTTTTCAATATTTTTATTAGAAGATTTCTATATGTAATTTCGCAGTTATCAGAAGAAAAGAACTGTTACATATACATGTATCTCTAATTACAGTCGACTTTTTAAACAAAGTAGATATACATGAAATGAAAATATAATATGTAAATTTTTTCAAAAAATATGAACTGTATTTAGAGATATATGTATATCTAACAACAGTTTTTTTTCTGATAACCGTGAGAGTTCACAGAAATCTCCTAATAAAAAATAATTAATATTCAAAATTGAAAAAATTGTCTATGTACTTTATAATACTCAAATATTAACCCGTGAAAAAGTAAACTTTCAACGCATTTAAACCTTCAACAAATGTCCGATTTTTCGCGTTTTAATGCGTTTGCTTAAGTACCGAGGTTAAAACTTTCTGTTTTCACTCCCTACAACGAGTTTCAAGCTGAAATTCAATTCAATTGTTAAAGCGCGAAAATTCGAACATTTGTTGAAAGTTAAAAGAAGACAAAATAACGATCGTTATAACGCGCTATTTGCTTATTTTTGACTGCTAGTGTATAAAATTTTTTTTTATTATATATATTATAGTATTTAATATTATATATTGATGAAATATCTCCATGCCAATCTCATTCAATAGCAGGATTTATGTCATTGTTAACAGCATTAATCGAGCTTTTTGCGTTATTTTTTGCTCAAAAATTTCTTAAATATCTTGGTAGAAATATATGTTCAATTCTAATATTTATTGCATTTTCAATACGTTTCTTTGGTTATTATTCAATTGTTCGACCTTATTTTATATTAATTGTGGAAGCAATGCATTTTTTTAATTTTGGTATATTATATGTACTTATTTGTAAACAAGCTCTTCATATTGGTTCGTTTTTATTTTATTAAATCTTCATTTATTTTGTTCTAATCAGTGTTGCTTTTCTAGCTCCAAATGGTCTCTCTGGAACGCTTCAAGGCTTAGTTTATGGAATTTGTTTTGGTTTAGGTATTAAATTATATTCACTTGTAAAAAACAAAAGAAGAAAAGTATTTTATATTTCATTATAAAATAGGTCGTGGTGTTGGTCTAATTATATCCTTTTTTATTTCAATGTGGTTCAATAAACGACGTCTATTTTTAATATCTTCTATATTCAATGTAATTATGGCTATTATTTATTTAATATATTACCTATTAAATAAACGAAGAAAATTATCTGAAGCTAATATCAAAATTGATGAAGACCGTTTGTCTAAAAATGTTTTGACACAATTAAGTAAAGTTTTTTTTATTAAATTAATTTATATGAAAAAAAATGAATTCTTTTTCTAGAATCAAATCCGACAGAAGGATCTCTATATAATGATGATAATAATCAATAAAAATAAATAAATTATACTAAAATTTAATCAAAAAGAAAACTATCATTAGAAATTGAATGAAACTTAAATGAAATATTCAAGCAGATATTATATATTCACTAAGCTTTTATCATAAACCAGATTTTGGTTTTTTTTTGCTTTATTAAACTAGATCAAAACAATATAGAATGAAACATTTATTTATAAATAAATTTTATTTGATTACAAATTGCACAACTTTGTTTTTGCTTTGTTTTTATATAAATTCTATTACTGCCGCATTATCATAAGAAGATCTAGATAAGCATTAAAACTTAATTTTATTTCAAATAAATTCGATCTTATTTTATAGAAAATATTTCAAAATTCTATTTTATTATGAAAAATACCTTTATTGAAATAATTATTATAAAAAATAATTCGATTGAAATTTATCATCAATAATTTATTTTCGACTCAAACGAAAATTAAAACAATTATTGATTTATACAAAAATCAAGAATTATAGGAGAAAATTTCAAAATAAAAAAATCCATTTCGGATAAGTTTAACTGCTAATAAACTATTGATAATTAGATTTTATGATTTTTATTATTAATTAAATAAATTGTATATCCTATTGAAATATTCGGAATATTATAACGATATTGAAGAAAATATATTCACATCTGCCATAAACGATATAATTTGAATTTCGACTAAATCAATATTGAAAAATACATAAAGTGCATCAATAGTATTTGACCTATTTCTTTAAAAATAGCTGCCAAATATAGAAATTTTATAACCAAAATGATCAGCATAAAAAGTCCTAGAAGTCTTGAAAGTTTCACTAAATTTGGACGAGGTGATCGGATCGACTGGCGAAATCCCATGGATACACCCTAGAATAACGTAGTTGATTCATTAATTAGAATTATTTGTAAACTTCAGTGCACATCAAAAATTTGATGAAATCTACTGCATAGTGGGGGTATGGGTGGGTGTTAATCTCATTCATAGACATCCACACACGCACCCACACTACACATCGAAACCCACACGCTTTCCAAGCACTTTGGCTTTTTACAAACTTTTTAATTCAAAAATTTTTTCAAACTCATCTGTTACCCGTGAGGTAGGCTACACTTTAACCATGACTTCAAGTCCAAACCATGAGAACACTTCAAGCAGTTATGCTAAAGTGATTAAATCTACAACAGCCTACAGCAGAATAAACATCAACGAGTATTTGCATATCAAAGGCAAAAATAGCGACGATTTTTCTTATTGGCTTTGGGAACGCGAAGAACAACAAGAAACGAGATGTACAACAAAGGCCACTATAATTTGTATTCAGTCATTCTCGCCTTCACCTCCTCATCCTTACCCTCCCCTCTCAAGACTGTGAAGAACAAAAAGAAGATTAAATTTTATGTCGTAATCATTTGTATTTGTTGTTATTGTCGATTTATATGTTTGTCCTTTATCCATGGGGTACTAGTCCATACACCTCGTGAAGTACCCTGGAAACTACTAGATCTAGTAGGCTAAGATATGGACAAATTTTGTCGGCAGAATGATGTGGGCAAAGTGGTGTGTCGATAAAGTGAATGCGACTCGAAACAAGGTGTACTTGTACAAATTGTTCTTATAAACATAGTGTACGTGCACAGGTTTCTTTACATTTCTACTAAAAGTACTGATCGCGATCACAATCCCAAATTTTATCTGCTATCATGATTATACAGTTCACTCAGGTTTTCCAGTGCGTTTCGTGTCGAAGAATTAAATTGAATTTTTAAAAATATTCTTTTCCTAATGTAAATAATGTTTCGCAGTTTCTTTTTCCATTGGAGAAAGACAATGAATGTGTCAGATTTTAAAAATATTTATGTACGTCGAGAAGTCATAACTAGATTGAAAATAATCAATTTTTCTATTGTCTTACAGAAAATTTGTCTCAACTTCATATTTGTGTAAATATCATGCGGTGAAGAACGAAATAAAAGATCGGAACTCATTGATAGAATAGCAATTTTATTATTAATACTCTCGACAATTTAAAATTCCGATTAGTTTGGAATAAAAAATCTATCATTGATTGGCATTGACTATTTCCGAACGCTTCAGCTACTTGAGCATCACACACAAATGAATATCGATGCGTGTAGCTCATTTGAACTGTGTTTCTTTTCACAAATGTGATTTTTATTCTTGTTCGTCATTATTCATTCTTCGTCTGCTCTCACTATTGAATCTTTTACTGTTGCTATGGGTAGTTCTTCTTAACGGAGCACATAGTTGAAATAAAATTTAGAAGAAAACAAAAAACAAAATGAAACCAAAACGAACGAAAGTAAAAATTGTATAGTGTTGCCATGCTGCACGAACAACAAACAAACTCTCGCATATAATACATTTAATGAAGTTGCAGACTATCATCGCAGAAATTTCATCGCCATATTTAACTCTAATTACTTTTTCTGGTGAGCAACTTTTTAAAATGGTTTCTAAACCCAAAGCGAACATTGGAATGAAGTATTGATTGCAAATGATTGAGAGAGAAATGAAATCGATATCAATAATGAGCTTCTGTTTCAACGATTAATTGATCATTGTTTTTGCATCAATAACCTATCGAATTAACTTTCTTGGACTCATCACACAGAAATTTAATTATTCAGTTGTTCTTTATTCTAAGATTTTTCTATATTTTACAACATTAATTTGCCACACTTTTTCGTCATTTTATTCATTGTTACTTTCAATGTTTTTAAGCATCAAGGTCGATACCGGGACAATTCGTTCCAAGACAATTCGTAGTACGTTCATTAAATTGAAGTGTTATATATTAACATAATGATACACGTATGAGTAAGTGTTTTATTCTAATTTCTTTTCTTTACTAAATGATAAAGAAAAACATAACATCTAACAAAAAAAAACAATACAACGAACAAAGTACACCCCTCCCCATCGTTTGAAAACTTATATTTTACGCTTGTGCAATCACGGTTCTGACATCGAAATATGAGTTTTACGTTAGTACTTCGTTCTAAATTGTGCATGTGAGAATCATAAACTACCAATGGTTTTCCTCTTTCGCTTGAAACTTTTTCTATTTTAGACATTGTAAAGAAGTTTATTACAATTTCTGAGAAATTAATTTTAGAAAACAGGCCTAGTCTATTAAATCATCGTCTAGATATACAATGTGAATCGATTACACATTCAATAGATTATTAGGTATTACTAGAGGTGTTCTTTTAATTATTTTTTTATTTTGATGAAGGTCAAAATAATCACAAGAAAAATAAGTACTTCATCTTTTACATGTATTTCAATTTTCACTCTGCCACAATGATTGAAAGGATTATCGACTAATCAATCACCTAAGCGACAAATTGTCTTGCAACGAGTTGTTCGGTCACCTCAAGATCAAATTAATCATATGACGTTGCCAGGAATTCCGTAAGATAAGAAATAAAGGCCATACTCTCATATTTCTGAAAGGTATTTGCCGTCAAGAATATGTGGGTCGGTAATACCAACGACGAAGCCTGTGTATCATACAAGAATACATAGCAATGAAACCGTAAACTTGTCGTGTACTGATTCTATCCCTTGAAAAAACTACCGAGTATTAACATAATGCTTATTTTTAAGAGCGAAAAGCTATTAAATTACAAACACGAAATAAAATGTAGATAAACCAATCTAGCCATATCTCTGTTCATGAAAACGACATCAAGAGTCATCGTGACAGTAGCCAAAGAGTCAGACGGATCACAGAACTCAATTGATCCATTAAAGGTGTGGGTTTGGTCGTGAGTCTAACTCCATAGTACTCAGACTCCCACATTTACGCATACATAGTCTATGTTAGACATAGTAGAACTAACTGGAGTAAGAACATGAACATTTGAGTATGTTGGATAGAAAAGAAAAAATTCAATGAAAATACGGCTTTTTGACAAGAAGATCTTGTAGGAAGACTGCGGTGTGTTTGATTGTTCCATTTGATGTAATTGTAGAAATCTTATCGTATTGTACATTGAATCATGTTAACTTCTTAAAAAATTCCTCTTATAATGTCAATGTGTTTTGTGAAAGTTGATATGCCTTATATTGTCTTTCAATTCGGTGGGTGTAGCTTACTTTTGTACTTCATTTGTTTGCTTCCATTACGTGATCATTTATTCTTATTTTTTTTCTGCATTCTTATTCTTTATATCGCTAGTTGTCGCAGATATAATCTTACGGCAATGAGATACATTTATTGATAGCTTATTTCGCTTACAAACATTCGAAAACTCAAGATTTGAGTTTTACATTACATACGGATCTTTCTACAATATTTTGAAGTATTGAAGAAAAGAGAAAAATATTCAACTAAAACTTGATAAATCTTCAAATCATGATAGATCGGGGAAGGCAATAGCTGCTCTGTTGTTAAATCTACATTCGAGTTGTTATTCATATTTTGCAGATGTACAATCAGATTCGCTCGTTACAATGTATATTGTTGCTTCTATACGTTCTTCCATTGTACTTATTTTTATTTGCATTGTAAGATTGCTGATAAATGAAAGCTGACCGATTAGTTCGATTCGGTCTGATGCAGTAATGGTAACAAAAACAGCCTAGATCTTTTAGTCCATGAATTGTAACTGTATCATGAACTTGCATTTCTCATGATAATTTCATTTAGCACTAAATTGTGCAATTATATTTTTCAGATATGAATCCACCAGATGATTCATTATTATGTCCAATAACGTTGGAATTATTTCGTGATCCAGTTCTAGCACAAGATGGTCATACTTATGAGAGGCAAGCTATTCTAGAATGGATTGAAAAGAAGGGTACGAGTCCAATCACTGGTCAACCATTATCACTTGAACATTTATATCCCAATTATGCAATTAAAAAAGCAGTTGACCATTTTGAAGTATCATCAAAGAATAAAAATTATCAATATACTCTTGGTATTGATCTGAAAAAGAAATCCGGTAGACCATTATTTCAAACATTTGGGAAATCTATTTATCATGCACAATGGCTTCCAACGAATGATAATCGTCCGGAAATAGTACTATTAAAAATCGATGGTGCTCGTGCAAAAAAAGAAGCATCTTTCTACGTGGATCTCAGTCGTCATCCACACATCGTTCGAACATATGGTCTTGTAGAAGAACGTAATGATGATGGTGACAATAATAATACTAATGCTATTATGCTATTACAAGAGTATGCACATATGGGAAGTCTCTATGATCTACTGGAAGAACGAAACAAGACGCCCAATGAAAAAATTTTGATTGAAATGTTTCTGCAAATCATTGATGGAATGAGCTTTTTGGCATTTAATAACGTTGTTCATGGTGATCTTGCATGTCGCAATGTACTCGTATTTCGTTTCGACGAAGCTAATCCTAGAAATATTATTGTTAAAGTAACTGATTTTGGTCTTAGTCGACACAGTAAACTATATTCGTTAACACCAGGTGCTGCAAAGACCACTTTAAATATTATTCCAGTGAGATATGCTGCACCAGAACTACTTGGAGCTAACGTAACATCTGATGATTTTACAGAGAAATCGGATGTTTATTCGATGGGTGTTCTAATGTGGGAAGCTTATTCTCGAGGTACAATACCTTGGCCGAAAATTGAAAATGATAATGAGGTTATTCGACGCGTTAGCAATGGCGAATTGCTTCCAAAACCATCAAATTGTACTGATATATATTGGTCAATTATCAGTAAAACTTGGTCAAAGTCACCCAAAGATCGTCCAACTTTTACTGAACTGAAACGCCTTCTAATGGAACAGTACTATAATTCATCACCTGTGTCAACTACAACAGGTATGTTTTCTCTCCTTGTTTAAGACCGTTTCGAGCATAGTCATAGTTTAATGAGATCTCTTTCTCTAAGATTGATCGTCGTCCAACGATGCACTGCTCATCTAGATTGCCTTCGAGTTTTTCTCAATTCAGATGTCAGATGTAGCCGAGGCTTTACGCAACTCAATGTGATATTTTTTCTGAAATAGTACTGGAATATTACAGATACGCTAGTTTCGAGCAAAGCAACAAATAAAAATAACTCATTGGCGACAGAATAGGGGACAAATTGTCAACGTTGAAAATTATCAGAGGAACAACATTTTTCCTTATGTCTACGATCAATTTATGAATCAGGCCACATCTGTGGAAACTACTGTGCAACGGCTGATGTCCATTGTATAATATCACAATTTTTTCTCAAACAAAATGCAGAAGAAAGAAGATTTCAATTGATTTTACGATCGACCCCTTTTCTGTTATGAAATGAATTCTCATATTCTTGTCGGACACAGGCGATCTGCTGCATGATGTCTTTGTTTTTATTGGTCGGTGAGGTAAATACGTAGATGTAAATGCGACACAAAATAATTCAATCAATGGACAACGCAACTGATTTTTTTAAAGTTTCAATCATTCTATTTTTGTTTCGTATTTCGGACGAATCAATCAAGTCTTGCATCTTTTTCCTTTGTATGGCCTTGATATTGATTCTTAAAACATTGGTCTTTTGACAAGAGCACACGTTTCCTTCAGGAATGGAAAAGCATTTTACAAATGTGATCATCGATCATTCCGTTTCTTTGCTTTCGGGGGTTGCTGTCTCCATCTGATCAAAATCAACAATGCTTGGACAGAAAAGCAATGGTCTCAGTATTGTATTGACATGCCAATTGATATCTAAACGATTGACTCCATTTAATGCAGATAGATAATAGTGAGCAGTTGTGTAACAGAGGAGACGTTGCCACTTAGCTAATCATCGTGCGAGAATGTGCTCCTCAATCTCATCAGCACGTCTGAAGAAGGATCAACAATGTCTTTTGACAACGAGAGTGCACTCTGTCATAAATCTATTACCTTAAGATCTAACATCTATTAGATTGAACAATACTATTGACAACAATTTTACTCTTGTCTGTAGAACTTCACTAAAATAGAGTCAGCAGTATGAACAGTGCTTATCAAAGCAAACCGAAAATGCGAGAAACTAAAGTGTTTATACATACGTACTGCAAAACATATTTTTTAAAACGTGCACTGTACGTAGTTAAAAACATTGTCTTTGAATGATTTTGAGATCACTAAAAATAAATTGTTGACCATTTGGAAGAAGAGACTTTTTGAATCATGTATTTTGGAAAAGCGTATTCTTTTTATATATGCATTCAGGTTCCCTAGTATCGAGCGTCAAAGGCGAAACCAGTAGTACAATGCATAGTTTCTGACAAAATTTTTAAACACTTGCTTAGCGTCTGTTTATTTCTACAAGAGTACGAGTGAAACACGAGAAAAATACATTGTCTTGAGTTCATAAATATCAGACAAAACGTTTCTTACAAAAGAATGGAGAGACACAACGAATTCAAACAAGTGGCGCAAATAGGTGCAATTTATGCATCATACTGTGAGACCAATAAAAATTTTAATTCATTTCATTTGAAATCTGAAGCTGAGGGTACCGGTATGACTATGGTTATGGAGTGTGAAGCGTGATATATACACGCGAATAAAGACAGCATTCACACTCATACACACACCGACGCCCACACCCTCAACTCACGGTAACCAAACTTCTTCTGGTTTGATAACGAGTTGGTTTTCAAGATTGTCTATTGGGTTTCTAAATTGATTTTTGGTTTTCTTTTTCATCTCAACTCTCAAATTAAGTTAAAACTTCGCAGCGAGCAGAATTAGTCTGATGAACCTTGCTGTGAGACAATAAATATTTACTTCGGTTGTACAGAAAGTTATATGAATGTTTCTTATACAGATCATATTTTTTTGAAACAAATCTGATCATCAGAAACATATTTTTTCGTTTTGCATAAGTGTGTTACAGACAATACAGTAAAGTATCATGTTTTGATGAACGAATATTAAACTTTCGTATCATTACTTATGATTCGAGGAAAGTAAGCAGCGCTGCTACAAGAGAGAAAATGACACATTTTGTCTACAAAAACACCACTAAATGCTTTCTTCTTCTTCTTTTTGCGAACATATCTATTTCGTAATCGTGATCTGGACAGAATTGAAAAACTGTAAATTTGAGTCTGTTTGTGATTTACACAATATATATGTATCATAATCAATGTGGAAGTTCTAACTTAAAATAAATCGTGCGTCTTTCAAATAAAGTCATATTGCATACATTTTATATACTTGATACATTTTTTGTTTTGTTTCTACGAGTCATATTACTTAATCAATCGTCGCTGTTCAAGAGATAATGGAAACAAAAATAGAAATATCTTCGTAATAGAAATTTAACAAATGATTTTCACGTCTTCATTCTTTCATAGTACGAAAAACAGAACAAAAAAGTTACCGTAACAACACTATTTGTAGAAAGGGATAGACAAGTCTCTTCTTTGAAAAGCGTCATTAGTTTTTCAAAGAAGAAGAGACTACAAGGAATATAGGACTTGTATGAAGCCAAACCATGCTTCGACATTTACAGCATAAGATTTCATACTCTATCATTTCATGAATCAGTTACAGATCCAAGAAAAAAGCATTCGATTTCTTTCCGAATTTCGTAACTTTGTTACAACTGCTAACATGTTTTCACTTATTTCCGTGAGCTGTCCAATATAATTCATCGAACACTTCGGTATAGTAATTCAAATTGAAGGAAGGATGCTTCAAACTTTTGCCAATTGGAAAAATCTAAGAAAAAAAAAGATTTTTTGCATAAAAAAATAGGTTTTTGAAATCAAATCTTTTATGCAAAAAACAAAAACTCTTTTTTCTCAAAAAAAGAAATCTGCTTTACTTTTTACACTGTTTTAAAGTACTCTAATTTGGTTGGGTGGCTAAAGGTCAAAAGTGAAAATGTTAAGAGGCAAAATGTCGAAAGCAGAACATTGAAAATCCAAATCCTTTTTGGTCACAGATTTCGCCGTCACCCTCACTGTTGTACTGTGTGCATGTGCACCGTATCATATTCCATTGATAAAATCTTAGAAAAAGTTTTTCACCAAGGATTTAGTTTTCGACATTTTCCATTCGACCTTTCGCAACTTTACCCTCTAATTTTTACTATACTTTCCAATACTAAATTAGATTTGACACACTGATACCCCATCATTATATCCCGTCATCCTTCTCACACACTTGATGATAGCTCCTAGCATCGTACTTCCGATCTGTAGTATCGCCAAGAATGTCTAATTCCTAGTGCAATGGTAAACAACTTAGATAAAAGATGTAGATTTATAGAAGTTTTTAGATTTTCGTCTGAATACCTATGAGAATTCTAACTACCAACGACAAAACGCTTGAGAATCGTACTTTTGATCTAAAACATCGAGATAACAATCAAAAAAGATTTTCTTGGATATAATCGGATACTGCAAGTTTAGTTGTACAAAATACTAATAAAAAGTTAATATGATGATACAACATGTGTATATGCTGTTTGAGTCTTTTTGATACACGATTGAACAACATTTAATGATAGGTTACTAAATATTTATTCTTGCTGATCTCTTGTTTTTATCCCTATTCGTTAATTCCATTGAAAAGGTATCAACTAAGTGAAGAAAAGCGCTGGTACATCATTTACTAGAGAAAGAAAGGTTCTATAAATGTTAGACAGACAGCACGTTTTCTCAACTGTCATATCAATACAATATATCGCATTATTAATCACTATCAATGCCATGGTAATGTGAATTACGGATTCAGTTCTGGTCGTTCACCTGCACTGAGCCCAGCACAAGTGAAAAAACTCGATAAAACCATCCAGCAAAATCGATCTGTCACAGCTGCCGAATTACTGTAAGTCACACAGTTCAACACAACCGAACGAACGATACAACGTTATCGTGTTTCTCTTGGTTATCGTCCACGAAAATCTGTCATTAAAGTCAAAACCAACAAAATGAATGAACGTAATCCATTTGAGTTCGCTTCATTACGCCATTATACTGATATCAAAAAATGCATTTTTGAAGATGAATATTATGTTGGTCTAAGAAGCATAGACCAAATTGTTTGGTGTAAACAAGGAGAATCGACACCAAGAAAGGAAATTTCGTCTCTCCGAACCCAGCTTAATTTAATTGGTTTCATTTGGTGGAATGGATACGTATTCCGTCGATTCGATCATTGGTTAAACAGTGACACGTATTGTGCAATAGTGAATGAAGCTCTATCTGAAGATATCGAGGCGTTGAATGAATTTGTTTATGCTTCTGACGATGTAAAATGGCATCGAAGTGCTCATATTGAATTATGCAATTGACCAAGTTATAGTACGGATTTTAATGCAATTGAACTGGTGTGGAATATTATTAAACAAGAAATTAAAAATAAGAATCCAAAGTCACAATGTGAACTAGAAGATGCGACGGATGATGTTTGTAGTAACTTGTCATTTAATGTTGCTCAATAATGTATCAAAAAGATTCAAACAGTATATTCACATGTTGTATCGTCATATTAACTTTTTATTAGTATTTTGTACAGCTAAGCTTGCACTATCCAAATATATCCAAGAAAATCCTTTTTGATTGTAATCTCGATTTTTTAGATCAAAAATACGATTCTCAAGCGTTTTGTCGTTGATAGAAAGATTGATAGAATCCTTCTCTTTTTGTTCATCGTCATACAGTTCACTCTACTATTCTCTAAGATCTTCAAAGTCATGTTTACATGAATTCCTCTTTCTCCATTTGATTCAAACGAATTTTTTACTTGCTTCAGAGAAAACGGAAACAAAACTCTTCTCCTTTGAGAACAGATTTTCTCAAAATGTTTTTTCTTTTACTCTTGCTGTTGTTTGTTTATTATAGTCATTCCCAGTCTTCAAGATCTT